CTATTTCCCTTCTCTCTCCCTTTCCCTCCCACCTCTCATCCCTGTTAAATGTTAATCTTCTTCTCCTGCTCTTCGTCCCTACTCTGATCTTAGTTACTCTCCTTATATCAAAGAAGACATTTGGCATTTGTTTTTTAGGGATTGGCTAGCTTCACTTAGCATAATCTGCTCTAATGCCATCCATTTCCCTGTAAATTCTATGATTTTGTCATTTTTTAATGCAGAGTAATACTCCATTGTGTATAAATGCCACTTTTTTTTTTATCCATTCGTCTATTGAAGGGCATCTAGGTTGGTTCCACAGTCTTGCTATTGTGAACTGTGCTGCTATGAACATCAATGTAGCAGTGTCCCTGTAGCATGCTCTTTTTAGGTCTTTAGGGAATAGACCAAGAAGGGGAATAGCTGGGTCAAATGGTGGCTCCATTCCCAGCTTTCCAAGAAATCTCCATACTGCTTTCCAAATTGGCTGCACCAATCTGCAGTCCCACCAGCAATGTACAAGTGTACCCTTTTCCCCACATCCTCGCCAGCACTTGTTGTTGTTTGACTTCATAATGGCTGCCAATCTTACTGGAGTGAGATGGTATCTTAGGGTGGTTTTGATTTGCATTTCTCTGACAGCTAGAGATGTTGAGCATTTTTTCATGTACTTGTTGATTGACTGTATGTCCTCCTCTGAGAAGTGTCTGTTCAGGTCCTTGGCCCATTTGTTGATTGGGTTGTTTGTTCTCTTGTTGTCTAATTTTTTGAGTTCTTTGTATACTCTGGATATTAGGGCTCTATCTGAAGTGTGAGGAGTAAAGATTTGTTCCCAGGGTGTAGGCTCCCTATTTACCTCTCTTATTGTTTCTTTTGCTGAGAAAAAAACTTTTTAGTTTGAGTAAGTCCCATTTGTTGATTCTAGTTATTAACTTTTGTGCTATGGGTGTCCTACTGAGGAATTTGGAGCCCGACCCCACCGACTGTAGATCGTAGCCAACTTTTTCTTCTATCAGACGGCGCGTCTCTGATTTGATATCAAGCTCCTTGATCCATTTTGAATTCACTTTTGTGCATGGCGAGAGAAAGGGATTCAGTTTCATTTTGTTGCATATGGATTTCCAGTTTTCCCAGCACCATTTGTTGAAGATGCTATCCTTCCTCCATTGCATGCTTTTAGTACATGTGAGTACTTTAGAGAAAAGTACTTTTCTATTTTGAAATACTTAAAATAGACAAGTTATAGAAATAGTCAAAAGAACTCACAAATTCCCTTATTCAGATTCATCAATTTTGCCACATTTTATTATTCTCTCATTCTGAATGACTTAAAATGATGTTAACTATTTTAAAAATTATGTTAGGTTCTTTTTTTTTTGTTATTTTTTGTTTGATAATCTGTTGATTACTACTTTTGCAATCAGTTTAGAATCAGTATTTAGTTAATGATAGGGAACCAGTTAATATCCACCATCCCATTCCTCTTCTACACACCCCTTTCTCCTCATTACCTTTTATAATTGAATTCCAAGAGTTCTGAACTGTTTTCAACCATTTTTGTTTTTTAATTTTTTTTTTCCTTTTTGTGGTATTCAGGATTGAACCTAAGGGTTTTGCACATGCTAGGCAAGTGCTCTACCACTGAGCTACATGCCCTGTTTTCTACTTATGCTCTCCCAGAAGATAGAATATTTTTGGGCGTTCTTTAACAGGTATTGATAACTTTTTAAAAAAATATGAAGAAGACAGGTGCAAGGCACACACCTGTAATACCCCTGGCTCAGAAGGCTGAGATAGGAGGATCGCAAGTTCAAAGCCAGCCTCAGCAAAAAGTGAGGCACTAAGCAATTCAGTGAGACTCTGTCTCTAAATAAAGTGCAAAATAGGGCTGGGGATGTTGCTCAGTGGTTGAGTGCCTCCAAGTTTAATCCCTAGTACCGCCTGCCCCCCCCCCCCCAAAAAAAAAACAAAAAAAAAAAAAACCAACCCATATATAGAGAAGAACATAGCCAAATTTTAATAGAGATGGATATATCTGTTAAAATTTTATGTTAAAAGGGTTTTTATAGCTTGGATAATTTTCTAATGTATGTAGTTATCTTTAATTGATTAAAATGTATACCTTTTTTTTTAATATATCTGCATAGCATAATTCCATCAGAATCTGCCAGTCGGCCAAGAAAACCCTGCAACTGTACAAAATCGCTGTGTTTGAAATTGTAAGTGTTTTTACTGTTGTTTGCTTACTTGATAAAACTAGAAATGCTCTTAAAATTAAATGGAGATTATTAAAAATTCTTAACAGGCCAATTACATACAAGAAAGTAAACACAAAAGTGAATGAGCACATACAGCAGCATAAAGGAATTCTTTCATTGATTGAAATACTTTTAGAGTCTTTGCTATATACAAGTCATTGGGGCTAGGAACACAACTGCATACAGTTTATGTCCTTATTAATAAGTTTGATATTTATGACTTTTGTATTTGGTCTCTTGAGTGAGGTGATTATTTTAAAAATCTGAGTTTTTAAAATTGTTGGATGAGGGGCTGGGTTTGTGGCTCAGTGGTAGAGCGCTTGCCTCACATGTGTGAGGCACTGGGTTCAATTCTCAGCACCACATATAAATAAATTAATAAAATAAAGGTCCATCAACACTAAAAAAAGTTTTTAAAAATTGTTGGATGATTAGTTTATTAGCATTAAATCAAAAGCTTTGACATGAAACAATTCAGTGAAAAAGCATTGGTCTTCTAGAGTGTCTTAGAATCCAAAGAAACATTGCTATAGCTGAGTGAGTTCCACTAATTGAATGTAGCCAGTACATTTCTTTTCTTTTCTCCTCCCCCAAGATTTTGAAATAACTTATTTGAGGAGCTCATAAAGTCACATCTTTTGTGTTGGCAGCTGTTCTTAGCTGGACTAACAACAACTTAGTTGGACTAGGAGTTGGTGACTTAAATGTTGAGCCTCAGTTATGGCTGAAATCCAAATGTGTGGTTAATTCTGTAAGTAGGAAGCTCTGAGTACATTTTTAAAAGGCTTTCCTACATACATAATGCATTTGACAATTTTATTTAATAATGACTTTTTATCTTATACTGATTTTTACCTTCCAGGTACTGTGACTGCTTTGCAAATGGCGAATTTTGCAACAATTGCAACTGTACTAATTGTTACAACAATTTGGAACATGAAAATGAAAGGCAAAAAGCAATAAAGGTGATTGTTTTTTATTTCATTTAACTGATAAAAATCTCCAGTATTACCCATTTTTAAAGAACTCAATTGTCTTACAAAAAAATTAATTTCCTTTGCAGTATTTAAATTTAATCTAATGTGATTTAACTTTAATTTTGATATTTGATCTGTTTTGATAGGCATGCCTTGACAGAAATCCAGAAGCTTTTAAGCCTAAGATAGGGAAAGGAAAGGAGGGAGAATCAGATCGACGTCACAGCAAAGGATGTAATTGCAAACGATCAGGATGTCTTAAAAACTACTGTGAATGCTATGAGGTGAGATGCTTGTTGGGGAAAGTAATCTGTCTTTTGAAAAGTTTTAGAAAGGACATACTATAAAAATTTACTTTAATGTCAGGAAATCACCTTACCATTATAGTTCAAAAATATGCACAGTTAGTCCAAGGGCCTTGTTTGAGGAAGACCCTTGGGCTTATCATTACATATTGGGGTCTCAGCTGATTTACTGTTTCATAACTTCTTGATTATTATACCTGAAAGTATGCAAATTAGAGCACCAGTATATTGATTTTTCAATACAGATAATAATATCAAAGTGCTTCAGAAGATAGGGCAGTGGTTCTCAACTGAGGGACAGTACTACTTACCTCCACAGGCTTTTTGGAAATATGTGAATACAAAATAGCCAATCTTCCAGAATGAAATCCTGAAATAAAGGATTATCTTGATCAGAAAAGCCAGCAGTGCCCCTCAGAAAATATTGCTCTGTGGAAAACTAAATTATATTGAGAAGTTTGGCCAGGTGTGGTGGTACACACCTGTAATCGAAGCAGCTTGGGAAGCTGAGGCAGGTGGATTACAAGTTCAAAGTCAGCCTCAACAATTTGGCAAGGCCCTAAGCAACTCAGTGAGAACAAAATATAAAAAGGACTAGGGATGTGGCTCAGTGATTAAGTTCAATCCTTGGTACCAAAAAAGAAAAAATTTTAGTTGGCTTTATAAACATTCATATACGAAGGGAGGAATATGGACATTACTGGATAAGGTTCCGTTCACTGTTAGGTGCCTGGGTCCATTTTCACTGTTTCATTGTCACACCCAGTTGGCTGTTTTTATTTATGACTCAGCCATCTTCTCTGGAGGATGTAGTTTCTGCTCTGCTTTGATAGATGCAGTGTAAAGCCTCCCCTTCTTGCTTTAGACAAAATACTATAGAACTTATTATTTTAAAAATTTAAACATAACAATCTAGTTTTGCCTGAGATTAACCCTTGGTTACCATAATGTCTCTTGATGTGCTTGAAACTCTCTGCTGACAGTCTATTGGATTAGTTATTCCTACAGTTGGCTTTCTTCTTTTATTATTTTTATTCTTTCAAATGCCATTCTCAGAGGGAGACTTTTTTCAATGCTTTGGCAGAAAGCATAGCCTTGTACCACCATCAGTGGTTATACTCAGCATTGGTAAGGTATGTTCTGCAATTCAGTGCCCTCTGTCATACAAAATGTGTTGTATGCAAGATATTGTATATAGTATTCTAACTAAGAATAGCAGTGGCTAATTGACTCACTGTGAATAGTGATGTTGTAGCAGTTTGTACTGTCAGAATTTTGTCTGAAGTTTTGTTACGTTGACAAATTAATCTTCAGTTTAGTTGGGTTTTTGTCCAGTTGATTTCCAAGTGGACAATACATACATAATCCTTTCACATGCCTTCAGGCCTAGTTGATTGTATGAGTTGGCTGTCCATTGTTATTTAAATGATTGTGTCTTCTTGTAACCTGCTCACCCTACTTTGGTTGTTGGGGAAGGTAAATTAGCAAAGTCTAGAGGATTCCTTGTCATTGTCATTTTTCTTTCCTGAGCACCTTTGGTCTTAGTAAAACATTATCCCAGCTGGGGTTGTGGCTCAGTGGTAGAGCGCTTGCCTAGCATCTCTGAGGCACTGGGTTTGATTCTTAGCACCACATTTAAATAAATTAATAAATAAGGTAAAAGTCCATCAGCAATTTAACGAATAAAAAAAAAAAAGAATCCAAGTTACCATCATTGATAATTCTCTGCTCCAGGGCCAGGAATTTTCTTTCTTCATCATTAGATGCATATTAAGTGTTGCTTTAGTTGGAGTCCCAAATAAGCCTGTTAATTGGGAGTAATCCAGTGAAGCCAAATGAAAGGAAAGTGACCACAACACTCGGAGCAACCAAAAGATCTTTATTGCAGCAGTGCAACAAAGAGAAAGGAAAGAAGGAAAGAGAAAGAAAGAAAAGAGATGAACAGGGAGAGAGCAAGAGCAAGAGAGAGACAGAGCGCGCGTAAGAAAGATAAAGAGCAAGAGAGAGACAGCAAGAGAGAAAGAGCAAGAGAGAGAGGGAGAGCAAGAGTGAAAGAGCAAGAGAGAGGGGGGCCTGGCAGGAGGGAGTTTTTATAGCCCAAATCTAATAGGGCCTCAGGGTCTGCAAGCTGCCTTGTTGGCCCAAGGGGGGGTTAAGTGTTCAGCCTTGAGCGGGACTTGACACAAACAGGTGATAAAGGACCAGATAGAGGGGGGTTTGAGTACGTGGGCTATCTTGCAGCCAACATCTGTTCAGCCTGCCCTGCAGACAACACAGTTCAGCCTGCTCTGCACCCAACACCAAACATATATCCATTGTTACTTTATTTATTGGTGTATTGTAAGAAAGGAGTAGAGTAAATGTGTTTAAAATCTGGTCCATTTACCTTGCTAAGTGCTATAGAGAGAGGATAGGTTTATTTATTTAAATCGATACAGGTTCACTGAAGAAAATGAGACTAAAAAAAAATATTCAAATTTTTTAGGAGTCAGGGAAATGTAAATAACAATGTGATTTCACTTTATGTTATCCCCAATCAGATTGGAAAATACTAAAAAATAAAAAGAGTTGGAGCATCCATTATTGGAGGGAATGTAGGACAGCCTTAATTGCTGATGAGATGTGAAGAGGTGTTAGTTACAGCTGGAAAAAGCAATCTGATTATATCTCTTAAAATTAAAATACATATATCCTAATCCCAGCAGCTCAGGAGGCTGAAACAGGAGAATTTTGAGTTCAGAGCCAGCCTCAGCAAAGTCAGTGAGACCCTGTCTCTAAGTAAAATACAAATAGGGCTAGGGATGTGGCTCAGTGGTCGAGTGCCCCTGAGTTCAATTCCCTGGTATCAAACAAACAAACAATAGGAACTTATATTCTTCGACCAGTGAGCACCATTATAAAGATCTGGCTTAGAGAAATAAAAGCATAATTTTATTACCCACCCCCCATCTTTGTATGCATTGTTTGTATTACCAGTGAACTGGAAACAAAACAAATATTCATTGATAGGGGAATGTATTCCCTAATAAAACATGACATATCTTACCAGGGGTTAATACCCAGCCATTAAACAGAATGAATTCTAGCTCTGCCAAATGACTGGAAGGGGATAGTATTTTATGAAGTGTTGGAGTATAAGGAAAACAAGATGCAAAAAAGTAGGTATATGATTCTGTAAAACAAACTAAAAAGAGAATTCTGTATACCTTGAGTTGGTATGTACATAGATCTAGGTTCTCATATAAATATATATTTTTACATGGATCTTCACACTAGATTATTAATTTATAGATTTTTGAAGCGTTCTAGGAATCTGAAGAGGAAAGAGAATTCAGTGAGGGACATATAAAAAACAGCATGTATGGCCAGGTGTGGTGGAGTTCACCTGTAATCCCAGCTACTTGGGAAGCTGAGAGAGGAGGATCACAAGTTAGTTCAAGGCCAGCCTGGGCAAATTGAAGAGACCCTGTCTCAGAAAACAAAAAATAAAATGGGCTGAGATATAGCTTAGTGGTAGAGTGTGTACACAAGCTTGGGGTTCAATCTCCAGGACTGCAAAAACAAAAATAACAAATGGTGATTTGATTGAGGTGGTTTAATTCTGAATGACCATCTTTTTTTTTTTTTTGTAATATTTATTTTTTAGCTGTGGTTGGACACAATGTCTTTATTTTATTTATTTATTGTTATATGGTGTCGAGGATCGACCCCAGGGCCTCAAACGTGCTAGGCGAGTATTGTGTTGCTGAGCCACATCCCCAGCCCCCTAAATGACCCTTTTTAATATTTTAATGTGTCATTCATAGTCCTTATGAAGAACATGGGCTATTCATGCCAGGAAGAAAATCTATATTCATAGTAGGGGGAAAATGGACATGAAAGGATTTGAACATCAACATTGTTTGGCCATTTTCAGACTTTAGACTACCTGACCTAGCCACCTGCATACTTAGCCCATTTAGTCATTGACAGAAATAGGTGCTTCCATCTAATCTTATGTCAGTTGATTAGGTAATGTTATTATTTGGTAATCTGACTGTGGAATCTACTTATAGTAATGTTTTTTTGTTTTGATTTGGAAACTTTTATAATTTTTTTAGGCAAAAATAATGTGTTCCTCAATATGTAAATGTATTGGCTGTAAGAATTTTGAAGAAAGCCCAGAAAGAAAGACATTGATGCATTTGGCAGATGCAGCTGAAGTAAGGGTGCAGCAACAAACAGCAGCAAAGACGAAATTATCCTCTCAGATTTCAGACTTACTTACTAGGCCAACACCGGCTTTGAATAGTGGAGGAGGAAAGTAAGTCAATATTTTTATCTCTTTTTATAGTGTTTCTCAAATATTCATTTTTAGTAAAGTTTCTCTTGGAGAGAGACAAAAGTTGAGTTTATACTTGTGGTTATTGAAAACCTGATTTATAAAATTTCCTTTCTATCTATATTTACTTTAAGGAATTTAAGGATAACAGAACAATCTCTTGTCAAATATATTGTACAATTCTAAATGCACAGTAAGCCAGATGAGGGGGCTTAGGCCTATAATTCTAGCAACTCAAGAGGCTGAGGCAGGAGGATCTCAAGTTTGAGGCCAACCTCAGCAACTTAGACCCCATCTAAAGTGAAAAATAGAAGGGGGATGGGGATGTAGTTCAGTGGTAGGTAGATAAGTATGTAATTTTTAGAATCTCCTAAGAAAACCAAAAATTTTATACCCCTTTCAGAATGTAATTATTCTATCCCCAGCATTTATCAGGGCCTGATGCCAATACAGTTTGCAGTTTGGACTTGGGTTTATATTTAAAAGCTTATTAGAGAATTTATTTGAGAAATTATTAAGTGGTATAAGCCTTCCAAGTGGGCTTTTATTTAAAATGCTTAAGTTGAAATAAAATCTAATGCTTATACAAGGAAGGCTCCTTTGTACAAAGTAGTTCAGCTTTTAGTTCTCTTACAACTGAAATATAATTTGCAAATGTTTCTTGACTAAATAAAGTGGAACTTAGTAGTTACTGTTATGGTATGGGTCCTTCCTGGTCTTTTAGTAAATCTTTAAATCAGATCTCCATGTGGAGATTAAAGATACTGCTACAGTAAAATATTTACAATCTTTCCACTTGGGAAAATGTTTATGATATGAAGTGAAAACACAAAATTATATATTATAATTAAAACTATTGCTGAGTGCAGTGGTGCATGCCTGAATCTCAGTGGCTTGGGCAGCTGAGGCAGGAGGATCACAAGTTCACAGTCAGTCTCAGTAACTCAGCAAGGCCCTATCTCTAAATAAAATATAAAAAGGGGTTGGGGATGTGGCTCAGTGGTAAAGTTCCTCTGGGTTCAATCCATGATACCAACAAAACAAAACAAAAAAACTATTGTTACAAATAATACTATAAAGCTATACCAGCATGCTAACAAGCCTTTGTCTAATTATTTCCATCCTGGGATTCTTTCTTTCCTTTTACTTCTCTTGTAGTTCCCAAAGACTTTATAATGAGCACTTTTATTATGTTATATTACTAATTGTGTAATGTTATTGTAATATTAAGATTTTAAAATTTAAAGTGCTTCTTTGTACATTAAAGATTTTGGTAAAATTGTGTGACAACCTGTCATAGTGGTTTAATTTCAGGGCTGGGGATGTGGCTCAGTGGTTGAGTGCCACTGAGTTCAATATCTGGTACCAAGAGATAATAATAATAGAAGGGGGTATGGTAAAGTATTTTATTTTCATTATTGCCTAAAAGATAGTGCTTTCAATTCCCAATATTACTCATTCATTCAGCAAATACTCATATAAAAATGTCTGTGTCAGGATCTATTCTGGGCACTGGAAAACAGTAGTTAAGTAAAACAAAGATTGCACTCATGGAACTTACATAGGTAGAATTACATCTTTTAGTTAACCAAATAACCTTGTCAAAGTAATCACATATTTTACCTTAAATGTTGTATTTCCCAAACAGTATTTTAAAGCACTTTAGGATGTGTTTGTGCTCGTTGTAGAACCTGGAATTGTCAAAGAGTCAGTACAAAAGGATGTTACTTTTGTAATTCAACCCCATCATCATCTCTCTCTTTCTCTCTCAAAAATCATTTCAGGTTGCCATTTACATTTGTAACTAAGGAAGTAGCTGAAGCCACATGTAATTGCCTTCTCGCCCAGGCAGAGCAGGCAGACAAGAAGGGAAAATCAAAGGCAGCAGCAGAGCGGATGATTCTTGAGGAATTCGGACGATGTTTGATGAGCGTCATCAACTCTGCAGGAAAAGCAAAAAGTGACCCTTGTGCCATGAATTGCTAACTCTTGCACAAGACTGATAAATGAACCTGTACAGAAATTTTAAGGATGCTTGACTGTCTGGAAGATAGTTTAACAATTACTGTATTTGAATTCAGTCCTTGTTTTAAGAGACCTGAAATTATAATATTGAAAGAGAAGAAATTTTAAATGAGGAAATTAGTACATTTTAAATCTTAGTTAATTCTATGCCCCTTCTAAATAGAATTTTTCTTTTAAAATTTTTTCTTTATTGTATTATATAGATTTTTAATTTACTTGGGTTTCTTAAGAATTAGATGTTCTATCCTTCTGATTCTATTGGCAAAGAACATTTATAAATTACTATGATATAATTTATAATGTATGGCGTTGTATGACTTTGTTCAGTAGAAAAAACCAAAGCAGCATTGGTATTGCCAAGTCATTCTTTGGTTCTAGATTTAGAATAAACATAGACAGAATGTCTACATAAACAAATTATGGAACATATTTGGACGACATCTTATGTTTAGAAAAGTGCTATCTTCTTAAGAAAAATTAGCTTTTTTAGGGTGAATTCTGGGATATGCTATTGTCACTTTGGTAAATTAGAAGGGGAAGTAATCCCCAGGCACACTTTTAAAATTAAAAGTTATATTTTCCAAAAAACAGAACAAAAGAAAACAAAATATTAAGGGACAGTAAGTGATTTTCAAAAGATGGGCAGTTTTTCTATAATGAGGAATGGCTAACATGCTGAAGGATGTCTCCATTGTCTTTCAGAGGTGGTATGTGTTTGAAATAATAAATTGTTGAAGTGATTGCTGGGTATTGTTAAAATGAGGTATGTGTGAATAGAAGTAAACATTATGTAGTGATAATGTAGATCCTCTCATAACTATCAAGTATAAAATTTGGCTTGAATGGAGATATAAGGAATAAAGAAGCTGTAAGAGAGTGAATTTAGGGAAAGATTTTTCATCTCTACAGTTTTCTTTGTAGACTTTTGAACAGAAAATTTTCAAACCAATACACGACTCTTAATTGATTTACTCAAATGGGCTGCCTAACAAAGCATTCAAAATTATAGTGGGATTTTTTTTATATGGGATGTTTAATATGCCATTATTTTTAGCCAGTGATTTGGTAAGCTGAAGGTACGTGTGTTTTCAGATAATTGTTGAAATTACCTAAATCATTTTCAGTAATTTAAAAACTCTATGAATTTAAGAGCCTTTTAATAGGACTCCTGATTTTATGACAAAACAATAACAACAAAAAACCATGTTGGAATTCAGGCGTTTTGTTAGGTACTTTAATCCTCAGTAATTAAATGTATATGATCATTACATTTCCTACAAGGACTCTATAGTTGTATGTATTAAGTGTGTATATATGTTCATATGAACATGCAAGATATAGGCAATAGAAATTAAGTAATCCAGAAGAGGATCCGTTATTCATTAAAGTATCCTTCTTTTGAAATTTGGATTTATAAAATTATAGTGCAGTAACTTTAAATGTAGATAGTGCAAACATTCTTAGCACCTCAATCTAGTATGTCTAATTAAATTTGTATAAATGTAAATTACTCTAAGAGGATAAAATAATATCTAATGAAGTTATTTTTCAAAAGATTGCAATAAGTTTTTGGTCTGAACCTAAACTTTGTTCATTTTGTATATATTCTGTGTTAATTCTAATTGCACCATTGTGATGTGTATTTATATACAGTGTGCAGAAAATGTTTGTGAAATTTTGATTACAATTGTAGATTATGTATGATGGCATTGCTTAAGAATGTCTTGCTTGTAAAAATTTGAAGGTGCAATCAAATGCTACTAGTTTTTGATTTTCAAGAAGCTATCTAAAGAATTAAGCCTTTTTCTTCCTGTGTAGTACTTACTAAACAACTTTTTGTATTTAGGCATTTGCATCAAATTGCTGAACAAGATTAATAGCCACATTAATCCAACAATTTTAAAAGACTATTTGGGGAGGGTTGGGTATATAATTTTCTAGCTCTATTTACATCCCAAAGTAGAAAGATTAAATTTATATTTACTAGAGCTATTCAAATACACTTTTCTATATTGTAAAAACAGGATAGGAAAGTAAATCATACAGAAAATAAACATTTATACTATTCTGTAAAAAAATAAAGGTTTTGCATTCTTTCTTTAGTTTAATGCCACTTTTAACTATTTAATTGCAAGAAACCTTTTAAATTATCTTTCAAGTAAATTTGACATTACTTCTGAAAACACAAGCAAAAATTATTTTTGCCTAATTATCATTAACATAAATTGCTTTGAAATGAGAATGTGCTTTCTCCCTTTCCTGCTTTCTTCTAAGAGCAGAAACTCCATCTACTCTTTGCGTTTTAATGTATGATGTTATTATGATGACCACTTTTGTTTCCTTATCCCTGAAGAACTAAAAGCAACCTGTAGGTCTCATCTCTCAGAATCTTAATGCTACAAGTAAGTACTAAAACAATGAGAACATACTGGGTGAGGGAGGAGGTGTGTAATGTTTTAGCTTTCCCATTTTTTTTCATATTTAATGACAGACATTTTCTCAATCTCATGTAAATAGAAATACCTTTAGAAAAGTTTTCTATTTTTACTGTTGTAAAACATCATTAAGAAAATTAATGTGTCTTGTAATTGAAGCTTCAAACAGGATCTCTAGTCCTACGTTTGGCTATATTGTATCCCTTACGTATTTTTATATAGAATTCTGGAGTTGCCAATTAAAGCCAGTCACCTGAAGTCTTTAATACGGGGGTTATTTTCTATATTTATTTAAGGCTTTTTTTTCTTAAGACTTCTTTAATCCATATTTATTATAGATCAAATGTGAGCTTTTTAAGAACCAGTATCCATCCCCATCCCCCACAAGGCCTTACACAATACCAAGCAAGTTCCACCACTGAACTAGCTCGATCCAAGTGACTTTATAAAATGAAAGCTATAATGGCTTTTTGTGTGTGTCTATGGTGCTGGGGATTGAACCCAGAGCCTTGTGTGTGGGAGATAAGCTCTCTACCAACTGAGCCTTATAATGATAAATTTTTTTTAATTTAAATATTTTCTTCTCAAAAGTAGATTTTGTGAGAGAATTTAAACATCAGTTTAAAAAAATAGTAGTTTCTACTCAAAGGCAATAAATTATAATGTATATGCAAGAAACTGTTTATCGTTAAGATTACAGGGACTTCAATGAAACTAATTTAAATTGGCAAATGAAATATGTCAATATATAAAAATACATCATGACCAAGTAGAACTGACTATCCCAGAAATAAAAAGTTGATCCAACACTTAAAAACAATGTAATTCACTGAAATCAATATATTTTAAAAAATGAAATACTCATTTCAAATGTAAAAAATGACTGTGCATATAGAAAAACTTAGAATTTCTATCTCAAAAATTCTCCCTCAAAAAGGTACAGAAGAAAGAAAATTCAATACCCATTTATGATCAAAAAGCAACTCTCACAAATCGAGAATAAACCTGATAAAAAAGCTGGGCTGGGATTATGGCTCAGTGGTAGAGTACTCACCTAACATATGTAAGGCCCTGGATTTGAACCTTAGCACTACATATAAATAAATAAAATAAAGGTATTGTGTCCACCTACAACTGAAAAAAAAAAAAAAGCCAAAAGCTCACAGTACACATGGTAAAGACATGTTTTCAAAGACTTGGAACAAGGCACTCTTTCAATTCAGCAGTAGAGGTCATTGTACAAAGGCAAGGGGGGAAAAATGGCCCACAGATCAGAAATGAGTGAGACTATATTTGTAGATAATATGATTGCCTATGCAGAAAAGCAAAGAATTTAAGGAAAGCTACTAGGACTACCAAGTGAGGTTAGCAAGATCAATATGTAAAAGTCAACTATACTTGTGCACAGCAGCAATAATTTAGAAACTGAAATTTTAAAATTACCATTTATACCAGCAGAAAAAATGCATGAAATCCTCCTCCTCCCAAAATATATAAAGTCTGTATAGTGAAAAATAGAAATTACTGATAAGAATCAAAGAAAAAAGATAACACGATGCCCTTTTTTAGGATTGAAAGATTCAGTGTGCCAGCTTTCCCCCAAATGATCTACAGATTCAGCAGAACTCTGTGACAAAATTCTGGTTAAAATCCCTGCAGAGATTTCTGTAAAAATTGACATCCTCATTATACAATCTACATGGAAAAGGACAATTAGAATAGCTAAAGCATTTTTGAAAACAGAACAAAGATGGAGGACTTCCACCTGATTTCAAAAACATATAAGGGGGAATGCAGTTGTACCTCCATGGTAGAGCTCTTACCTAGCATGTTCGAAGCACTTGGTTCAATCTCCAGCACCACATAAAAGTAAATAAAGGTATTGTGTACACCTACAATTACAAAACTAAAAAAGAAAGAAAGAAAAGGCTAGAGTAAAAATACTCTGGTCTTGGTGAAATGATAGACCCATAGGTGAAAATCAGTGAAAAAATATTGAGTACAAAAACAACCATATACATATATAAATATATAGTAATTTTTTTGAGAGGGGTACAAAGGTTATTCAACAGAGAAAGGATAGGGCAATCTTTTAAACAAATAGTGTTGGGATATCTATATGTCAAAATACCAATCTACCTGCTGGGCATGGTGGCAAATACCTATAATTTCAGCTGTTCACAACACTGAGGCAAGAAGAATACAAGTTTGAGGCCAGCCTGAGCAACTTAGCAAGATTGTCTCAAACTAAAAAGGGTTAGGGATGTGGCTCAGTGGTAGAGCCACCTGGCTAGCATGTCTGAGGTTCTGGATTCAAAATTAAAACATGAACCTTAACTCATATACCAAAGTTAACTTAAAATGGATTGTGACTTAAATGTAAAACATAAACTACTAAATATCTGTAAGAAAATCCTGATACTTTGGCTTAGGCAAAGATTTTCTTGAATATTAAAAAGTATAATCCCTAAAAGAAAATTGGAAATATTAGACTTATGAAAATTTATTTACTCTTCAAAAGATATTATGAAAATTTAAATAGTTACAAACTGTGAAAAATATTTGCAAAACACATCTGACAGGGCAACAAACAAATATCTAGAATATAACACTGAGAAAGCAACCAACTTTCCAAAATATGGGCCTAAGAATTGAACCGACATTTTACCTAAAGAGATAAATGAAAAACAAGGGAGATGAAAATGTACTCCACATCATTAGCCATTAGGATAATGCAAATAAAAATGAAAGATCACTACACACCTTAGCTATTTCAAACAGAAAACAAAACCCGACATTACCAAATGCTGAGGAGGAGGTAGAGCAATTGGAATTTTTGTACTTTGGAGTCGGAATGACAAACGGTACACTTTGTAAAAAGTTTTGGCAGTTTGTTATAAGGTTAAACATACACTTACTATATGACCCATTGTATAGATATAGCATATTTTTATTTACCCACTTATCAGTCACCAGACTTTTAGGGATTTTTTTTTCCCCTTTGGGCTATTATGTTATGAAGTTTGTGTACAAATTTTTGTGTGGTCATGTTTTAATTTCTCTTGCTAATATGCCTAAGAGCACCACTGGTTATAGTTAACCCTGTTAAACTGTTTTAGGAGCTGCCAGGCTGTTTTTCTAAGCATATGCACTAGCTGTATTATTTAGCATTCTCACCAACAGTGAATGAAGGTTACAATTTCCCCATTCTTGCCAGCACTTGCTATGTCTTCTTTATTATGGCCATCCTGGTTGGTCAGAAGAGACATTTTTACAGTGATTTGATTTGCATTTCTTAGATGGCTCATGATGCCAAACATAGTCATTTGGGGCTGTTTGACTATCTCCTATGGTAATGTCTACTTATTCTTTACCCATTTTTAAAATTTTGGTTATTGAGTTATAGGAGTTATTAGTGTATTTATTCTGGACTCAAATCCTATATATATGAGAAATGGTTTCCAAAATTTCTTTTCACTCCATTCGTAGTCTTTAAATTTTTTTAAAAAATATTTATTTCTTTAGTTTTTAGGTGGACATAGTATCTTTATTTCACATTTATGTGGTGCTGAGAACCAAACCCAGTGCTTCACGTATGCTAGGCGAGTGCGCTATCACTTGAGCCACATCCCCAGCCCCAGTCTTTCACATTTTTTTTTTTTTAAGCAGACACAACATTTTTGTTTGTATGTGGTGCTGAGGATCGAACCCGGGCCGCACGCATGCCAGGCGAGCGCGCTACTGCTTGAGCCACATCCCCAGCCCTCTTTCACATTTTTTAAAAAATATTTTTTTAGTTGTAGATGGACACAATATTTATTTATTTTTATGTGGTGCTGAGGATTAAATCCCAGTACTCCACATATGTGAGGCAAATGCTATACCACTGAGCAACAGCCCTAGTCTTACATTTTTGATATCTCCTTGAAACATGTAAACATGTTTTTAATTTTGATGAAGTCCAATTTCTATTGTTTCTTTTCTTTTTTTGGTGTCTTAGCTAAAACACAAACACCTAATCCAGTTCTATTTTCTTCTAAGTTTTATTTATTTATTTTTGGTGATGCTGGGGATTGAACTCAGGGCTTTGTGCATGCAAGGCAAGCACTCTACCAACTGAGCTAAATCCCCAGCCCCTTCTTCTAAGTTTTATAGCTTTACCTCTGACATTTAATTCTTTGATTCATTTTGAATTGATTCTTTTGCATGTGGATATCCAGTTATCCCAACTCTATTTGTTGGAAAGTAGGATGAATAAATTTTTTTTAAGAGAATGTTTTTCTCTGAAGGAAAAAAAAGATGCAGAGTAGAAATTATAACTAATACCTTAATCAAATATGAATATTTTGCTGCAAAGCATGCTATATCAGGTAAAAGGGATATAAAGCAATTAAATGAGCTAAAAGTAGTAATGGAAATATTCTCTCTCACCTTCAACATTTGCCCAATTTATCCAGCACTGAAAGGAATAACACGAAACACTTAATTTCTTTAAATACAGAATATATTAGTACATTAGTCAAACATAACAACAAGGAGTAACAGACACTATAGATGTGAACCTTGCTTTAAATAAAGCTCAGGTACAAAACTTGATTTATATAAGCAATAAATTAATGGTGGTGATTTTCAAACAAAAAAACCCATAAGACTGAAATTTCTATTATTTCTTGTATAAAATATAACACTGATTATATTTCAAAACATATGTCTCTGAGGTAGAATAAACAAATACACCAAGACAGACTTTTTAAGGGGAATTTCAACTTTTACTTTGTAATTATTATTATTTTTTTTTTTCCGGTGGCATTGGGGATCAAACCCAGGGGCATTTTACTACTGAGCTATCTCCAACCCTTATTTTGGGGGGGTGGTACCAGGGATTGAGCTCAGGGGCACTCGACCACTGAGCCACATTCCCAGCCTATTCTGTATTTTATATTTAGAGACAGGGTCTCACTGAGTTGCTTGGCACCATGCTATTGCTGAGGCTGCCTTTGAACTCGCCACCCTCCTGTCTTAGCCTCCAGAGCTACTAGGATTACAGGTGTGCATCACTGCGCTCGGATCTTTTTTTATTTTTTGCGACAGGGTCTAAGAAGCTGAGGTTGGCCTCAAACTTGTGATACTCTTCCCTCCGCCTTCCAAGTTGCTGGAATTACAGGACTGTACCACCACACCCAGCAATCTTTTGTAATTTAAAATTTTATATTAGCATTAACTTTACTTTGTGACACTCAATGACAAAAAAGACATGTTTTATAAGGCAGGTGAGTAATACGTTCTTATTTCTTTTATCCATTAGCATGCTCCTATTTGTGAAAATTAGGTACCTGCATGCTTTTCTACTTATCTTTTCAAATGTGTGAGAGAGTGGAGAAAATTATTCTTAATATGCTTTCCACCTTTGGATTTAAACTCCTAAATTTCTGAGGGACAAATACCATTATGTAATTAAGACAAAATTTTCCATATCCATTGTCTAAATAGACCATTATTTTCTAGTTTATTAATCACATGCTATGATTCTATTAGTCAATCAATATTGGTATGTTTGATTATTTTAGCCTCCCTGAAAACACATCTCAGAAAGAACAGAAGTTGAAATAAAGGCTTCTTCCCAGTCTCTGATGAGCACTGGGTTCTTCCAATAGGAGTCAAATGGTGAAGTATCCACCCTATTATATTATTCAAAAGAAATATTTCAAAATCCAGGGACTTGGATAGTAAAAACCACATCACCTTTACTCTTCCCAGACTGCATTTTCCTGCTTGGATATAACACAAAGAATAATCTCATGGTTCAAAGACTTACCTTCTGTCTGACAAAGTTTTTCTATTTTAGAGTACCCCGGGACAAGGGGATCTTTGCGGTAATTGCTTTTTACTTTAGCCTAATGTTCAAAGCACAACTTAACTTTCATTTTTAAATATGAAATATAAAGGTTTTATAAGTATTTTGCTAACATTCTTAAGAATTATAAACCAAAGCTCTTTAAGGAAATGTAATTATTTAGCAAAGGAGCCCATGTTTGGGTAATTCTGAATGGTTGTTACTCTTTGAACAAGTCAAAAGTGTATCAGTTCAAATCACTCTTATAGGAGTAACTTCAAAGATAGCACCTGTTGGTGGTCTGTTCTGAGAGACTACTTTGTACAGTTTGGAAAACTCAAATGCTATGGGCCATTCCAAGACATGAGCAGAGTTTATAATATTCATTAAGTCAAAATTGCAAAGTTGTCCACTGTGCAGAATGGTCAATTTATAAAATATGGTAGAGTGAGCTTTAAAAAAAATGTTGACCAAATATTCTTAAGAAAAATGGTAATATATTTTAAGAGCTCTCATTTTAATGGATATCCATCATTACTTAGCAAATGTCTAAATTTATTGGTATTAGCGAAACTTAAACATTTGTAATCCTGTAAAGACCCGTGTTTCTTTGACAAAGTCTTCCTTTCAGTTCTTTCTGAATGGTGTCTTAAAGAGTACTGAGCTACATCTTTAGCTCTGATACTTAAGAAACACATTATTATATCCTTTAGTAGCTTTACAAAATGATTGATGGCACAAACTTCTCCATCAAAGAGATGCTCATTTAAATCTACAAAAAGATAAGTATGCCCAGAAAGCTCATGTAATATTTTCTCCTGAAGATACAATTCCCTGTGTTTAGGAACTAGTTCAAAAACTACCATTCTTGAATGGGTTCTTAGAACTTGTTCACAAATATTTATTATCTGACATAGACTTTCTGAAGGAAAATGCAAACCATTCTTCTTTTTAACACATAACAGTGAACCAATTTTAGAGGCTTTAAGATCCGATGCATACAGTGCACTGATACAGTCTTCACAAGTTAAAATAGCTGATAACCTAGTTGCAATATAACCAGCATAACAGGTAAGACTTCGCTTTTGATCTGACAGGTCTAGTAATGCCTCACTTAGTGAACAATTAGACCAGTCTTGACAAATATCTTCTTTGTGAAAAAGCGACTTCATAACCCTGACACCATACTGACGTTGAACTGTCCAGAGGGCCAAATCTTTTCTTCGAGCAACTGAAATGTCAAAGATGCTTACTTCACTTAGAAAAACTTCATCTTGAAATCTGTATCTGGTCTCTAAATTATGGTAAGCTTTCTGGAATGCCATGCAGGTAAAGCTGGAGCTGGGTACTAATACCTGCCTAAGCATCTTTAGAAATAATTCCAGATGGTCTTGACTGAATTTGTAAGTCAGAAGATAAGGGAAAGGCATGACTTTTGGGAAAACATAATTTTGGTAGAGCCATTTTAAGCTCTCAGCATTAAGCAAAAATCCCAGGAACCCTAATTTCCGCTTACCTTTAAGGATCTGATTATTGCTAGTGTCAGATAATGTAAGAAAAATAGTCTTGGCTTCAATTAATACATGATTTATTTTACTAAAAGTTTCAGGTAACAGAGGTCCTTTAAGACCCTTTCCATAACAGTTTCTGCTATTAAAAACGTCAAACAGGTTGTTAATTAAACGTAAAAAATGGATAGTACCAATACAGTTTTGAAAAGGAGGAAGGCCCACTGACAGCAAATATTCTAATGCGCTGGCTACACTCTCACTAAAGAGTTGAGCGGCACAATTCATTTTCAATACATGATTTTTCAAATTTGCATGTTTTCTTGGGATTCCCTTCATATATGATAATTCCTGTTCTCCTAGAGCTACTAATTCCACAAGGTGCTGCCAATGTGCTGTACCATTAATAAATTGAATGCTTTGAAAATTCTGAAATGCATTTCTTATTAATCTCAGCAAGTGGCAAGAATCAAAGAAGTATGCAATCTGTTGACTAGAAGATGAAGGATGCTGAAATGTACACTTCATGTTGTCTCCATCAATATGTATCCCCAATGCTTTTGCCATTTGAACACTGTGAGCTGTAGCATCAGACGTAACAGCCAGAACTGTGATCCCTATGTCACTCAGTTTGCCAATAGTCAGACGAAGCAGCTGAGCTTGCAAGTATCCAGATGTTCTGTTTACAAAAAAGTAACCAAGAGGGGTTCTCCAATGACCAAAAATACCCACTGCCATTAACAAAATGGTTTCTGAGGCAAGTGGTGTTTCATCAGCATCAAGTTTCCCAAGACCAAAGTCCATAAACCCTTGCAAACTATTACTGCTGGGATCCCACTGAAGTTGTTCCTTGAGAGAGATACCTTTTATGATCAGTGAACAGTACTGATATATCTGGTCTCCATTCTCTACTCTTTGTTGAAGAAAAGAAAAAATATTGCTGTTGAAACCTGGACTGGGTTTGCATCTGGATAACCACCTAGAAAATATAAAATTAAAACACAAACTTAAATAAGGAAATAAAAAGAAAAAAAGGAACAAGACTTAAATGGTACTAAATGTAAACTCAAATCCCTGTAGAAATAAAAGTCAAGTATCCAAATTATACATTTCAAGAATATATTTATAGATACAATGAAATAATAAAGAAACACAAACTAGGATCTTAATATGCAAACACACAACATTATTTTTCTCATTTCTTCCCTTTTTTTTTTTTTTTTTTTGGTACTGGGGATTGAACCCAGGGTTGCTTAACTGCTGAGCCATATTCCTCAGTCTTTTTTATTTTTATTTTGAGAGAGGATCTAACTAAGTTTCTTAGGGCCTCTATAAGTTGCTGAGATTAACTTTGAACTTGCAATCCTCTTGCCTTAGCCATCTAAGTCACTGGGATTAAAAGTATGTACCACCATGCCTGGCTCATTTATTCTTTAAATAGTACACATATCAGTTATCTAGCATGTTCTGATCAATCTTTTTACAATATGGATAGTAAACCAGTCTTGTCTGTACATTTACTGAAAGAAGAAACTGAAGAAAGGGGAGGAACCTTTGAGTACATCTAGTATATCTACCTCATTTTACAGATTAGGAATCTGGGAAAAGGGAGTGGTTGAGCAACTTTCCTGTATTGTGCTATTAGTTATGGACAAATTTGAAACCCAACTTTCCTGATACCAGACCTTCGGTGCTTTGCTCACTCCTTGCAGTCTCAAAATTACACTGTAAGAAGCTTTAAGGTATCTGCATGTGTTGGTTCTTATACAACGTACCTGCATTATTACCTTAGGAGCTGTTTCATAGTACCCCTGAACTTCCCAGCTGCTAATCAGTCCTTCCTATTATTGTTAGTGTCCATCTTCAGAATTCTTCTTTCTTATAATTTACTATAATTTGTTTCCCAGAAAGAAAGCAGCCATATTTATTTCCATTGTGATTTTTCCTTTGACTCATGTGCAATTTTATTTTATTTTGGGGGTTCTGGAATTGAAGCCAAGGGTGCTCTGCAACTGAGCTACATACCCAGTTCTTTCTTATTTTTTATTTTGAGATAGGGTCTCACTAAGTTGCCCAGATTGACCTAGAACTTGCAGTCCCATCTCAGTCAAGACAGGGCTTTCCAAATAGTTTAGTTGCAACCTAGAAGTTTTGTAAATAAAACTCCTACCATGCACTTTCACATACAAAGAAATATAACCTATACTCTAATGGCAATTATGATACAATAAATTGATTTCAGGCACAGATGGTTTTGAGATAGATACAGTTATAGGATGCAAAAGACATTTTGATAACTATTTAGGAGACAAAAGTATATATCAGTTGTTAATATTTTAAAATACAACAGAAATAGTAACACAGTGAAAAAACAGAGGAATGCTACAGCCCATTAGTATGTTGGAAACCCTTCACAGGTATGTCATCAAGTTTTAACTGTTTAAAATTAATTTATTTTACATTAGTATTCTCAAATGAACATCAAGATGTAAATGTGCTGCATATGCAAGAGTATGCATTGAAACTACTTCATGTCTCTCTGTAAAAGTTTTATTTTAAATGGGATTAAAAAAAATGCCTTGTTCAGTTGGGCTTATTTTCTAAATGAAAATCTAAATAGTATCTTAATGTCCACAGGTACTAGAATAGTGTCTTGAAGAAAGATAAGTAGACTGGATTTATTTTGTGAAGGTACATCTAAGAGTTAAACCAAGAGTGTAAGTTACAGCAGCATAGGAGGCAACTGATTTTTCTCAAACTTTCTTCTCTCCCAATATTGGAGGGAAAAATTCTGAACATAAAAAATTACATTCTTCTTTTCCTTCTTTTAAAAAAATTATTATTTAAAAAATTTTTTTAAAAATCGGTTAATATTTCAGGGAGTCTAGGAAACTAGATATGTATGCATACCTAGATGTAGTTTTCAAAAATTATACTGGGTTTATTTTTTTTTTTTCATTTAATGTTGGGAGTCATTTTTCCATGTCTTTAAATATTAGCCTACAGTCACGTGATTAAGAATATTAACTAAACCATGTTAAAAAACATTTAGGTTGTTTTAATTTTTTAGACAATATAAATAGTGCAATTACATATTAAGCACACTTGTTTATGTCATTTGTGTAATTTGTAGGAATAGGATGCAAAGATAATTTATGCATGAATTGGGATAAATTAACTCAACTTTAATAGGAAATTAAAATCAAATTTTGGATCTCAAGTGCACATAATTGGGTGTGTACATTTGAAACTATCCTCCAGAAAGTTCCCACCAATTTTAATTTACATTCTCATCAACATACTTTTAATTAACTAATATCTAGAAGCTTTGTTATGGAATGATTATAGAAAGCTGGGTGGCTTAAGACTACTTGGGGAAAAAAGGAGTCCTAGAACTCTGTAATACTATCTATTTTTCTGTAAGACTATAAGCTCTTTCCACCATTTTGTTTATTTTTGAGACTCACTGCATCCAATCTATATGAGAAGTTAATTTGTTAAACTGCAGTGAATATGAACAAAGAAAATTAGAAACAGAGGAATATAACTAAGGAACAAGTGTTCGATCACTGTGTAACTATGACCAAAATCACACTAAGTGTATCATTATTATAACAAGGAAATCTAAGGACATGATGACATAATTTCAAAGAATTTATGAAAGTAAGCTACCTTAAAGACCCAAAGCCCTGGAATTAGAAAAATTACTGTTCTGAGAAGGCTGTGGACATAAATAATTCAAAGAGAATTAAAAAAAGGGTCCAACATCAGCACAGAAAAAAATTAATAAGAGCTATGTTTGATGAAGGTAAGCATTAGAGAAAGACAGATGACAATCAGAAATCAATGAGAGGTACCTACCTAACCAAACCAAGATTTTAAAAAAATTAAGGCTGGCTTGGTTTGTCCTCATCTAACATTAACCATCTATTTGTTTTTTCCATCCAAAAAAACCTAGTTTTGAAAACACTTCTGGTGCCACATTTTCCAAGTAACTTGTTTTTTTCTGGTCTCTAAGATGACTGTGAACATTTCCTCTTCTCGTTCCAAATTTCTAATACCTCCTTCCTCATCTCTCCACTAATAGCTTTATTTCATGCAGAAAATAGAAGCAATCTGAACAAAATTCATTTCTTACCACCAAATCTATTACCTTATTTTATCTGTCTCTGCCTCTCTTCTTAATCTAATGGATGAACGGTTCCTGTCCTAGCTAAGGTTACTTATTTCCAAAATGGTATTGGATGTTAGCCTCCTGAAATTATCCTTTCTTTTATGAATCACCAATTATCTTTACTCTATCATTCCTATGAACATACAAACATGCTAGAACATCTGCCAAATCAACACCCTTCCTTCTACCAAAGATGTATTTTCCTGCTCTCCTTCATAGCAAAACTCCTATAATTTACACACACACACACATATTTTTAATTTGTGTGTGTGTGTGTGTGTTTGGGGGGAGGGGGTCTTCTTTATTTCCAGACTTTTGTGAGCCCACTCAAGCCAGTTTCACCTTTCCACCACTCCACTGCAACTGCTTTTGTCAAGATCATCAATGACTTCTAGCTTGCAAAACCCAAGAGTCAATTCTCTGTCCTCATCTTACCTGATCTGATCTCCCAGCAGCATTTGACATAGTGGACTACTCCCTCCTTGAAATACTTTCTACACTTGGCTTCCAGGCCATCACAACCTCCTGGTTTTCCTCCTGCCTCACTGGCCGCTCCTGATCAATAAATATTTATTGAATAAATATTAAATATAATGGTTATAAAGATCTATTACTTAAAGCACAACTGTCTTAAAATATATTTTTTTAAATGGAATTGTAATAAAAAACAAATGTTTGACCTTCCAGATTTTCTACGATAAAATCTAGGTATCATTAATATATAAAAATATTATATGGCCATTAAAGCAAAATTTTATCAAGAAATAGATTGGAGAAAAAAAAAAGTCTAGGCTGGGGGTGTAGCTCAGTGGTAGAGCACCTACCTGTCTTGGCTCAATCCCCAGCATAGCACAACGTAAGTCTGGGAGGCTATTTACCAAACTGTTAAGAGTAGTTACCTTATGAGATTAGGGAAGGAGAAAGATTATACATGTTTTTCATTTTCTAGTATTTAAATACTTACTTACTGTTTGAATGTTTAATAACAAGCATGCATTACTATAACCCTAAACAATGTAATTTAGTTACAGCCAAAGTATCCAAAGAAATAAGTAATGGCATTAGTGGAATTATAAATAAAAATGCGCCAGGTTACAACAAAGACTACAAATACCAAACTCCCACGAAGAAAGAAAAGCATGAAATAGAACTACTAGGAAAGATTTAATCTAGCTAGGAATTGGTATAGAACTATAGGGAAGGAAGAAAAGCATAGAAAATAAAGATGAGAAGTCATGTGAAAGGTCTTACACAGACCATCATGAAAAACCAGTAAGGAATGCTTTAGGTAAAATTAATATGGGAGAGGACTGAACTTAAAAAGGTACAAGACAAGAAATATAAACAAAATGTCTATAAATATGTCTGCTAAATGATTGACATTTGTAAATAGGTATAACACCAAGCCTATATGATAACCTCACACTAGGAACAGAGTTAGTTTTATTACACAAATATTCACCTCAATGTATGAAATAGCAATTACAACCAAAAAGTCAAAATAATATGAATGTCCAATGGTTAGATAAGGGTTAAATAGGGTAGGACCAACTAATATTATCAGCTATTAAAATTTACCTATGAAGAGTTCAAAACAACAGATAAAAGGCATAAATAATAAAGTGATACAGAAATTTATGTAGAAAAGATCATAACTATGTAAAACCTAGTAAATCTATGCACATAAAAAAGACTATAGGAAATACTCTAATGATAATTGTATATGCTGTGTAGAAAAAAAAGTATTCATTTTTTTTCTTCCTTTTCTCTCATTTCCTATTTTTTAAATTGTTTTTTCTTTTTTTGGTATATAGGAGAATCCCCCTTCATTTCTTAAAAAAGGAAGTCTGTTAAACTAGTGATGAAAAAGAGCCAAGATTGAATATTAAATTTGTAAGACATTACTAGAAAATCATTATTATTCACTTCACACTGACAATTATAAATGTATCTATATATTCTGAGCAGAAAACCTGAGAAGATATTTACTAAAATCTGGTCCCTGAACAACTTGCAGTGACAACAACAGCAGTGCTTACAGAAAATGCAGATTTTTTGGTGCTTTGCCTTTAATAAATAGTATTAATCAGAACTGTGAAAGATTTTCCAAAATAGTGAGATATTAGAACTACTAAAGTGTACTAGAAATTTCAATATTTCAAGATTCAAATTTTACCACCCAGAGTGTCTCTAACATTTGAGACGCAAAATCCTTTGTCAGCCTATGTGTCCTCATCTTGTCGGTGAAAACATTGCTGCTGTGATAATATGCAAATACTACCTAGAAGTTTTTAAACAGAAAATGGAGTAATTAATGGGGGTATGGATACTAATAGCCTTAATGTACAAAATTCAATAAAAGAACAAATTTATTTGTTTCATTTAACATCCAAAAATTAATTACTTACGTTCTGAGGATAGAAGAATGAGGCAGTTTAAGAATCTTTCTTACATAATCATAGACTTTGCTACTACACAAATAGAGTGTACACGCAAACTGTTTCATTTCGGTGGAGTACTCAGCTGTTTCTCGCCAGTTATACATCTCCCAATTAAAATCTGTTAAAATAACATTTATTTTTATATAAAAAATGGCATAATAAATTTTCAGATCACAGCATTTGGATACAAAATGACTGACATGAAAATTCAAATAAAAATAATCACATTTAAACTGAGTTTGTTCACAAGTTAATATCCGCTCAGGGCACCCTAACCAATTTACCATGCTCATCTCCATCATTCAATAGAAAGAGGGAAGAAAACAGTTTCAATTTAAATCATGTTTTACTATTCATTGGCAGCCAGATAAGAAATTTTTAGAGGAAGAGGGAAGAAAATGAAATACTATATTTCACAAGTATGCCATATGTTCTAATCTTGTACCAAAGACAGTTTAGTAATAAATGATTTTTAAGTAATAACAGCACATTTTTTTGAAGCTTCACATAATGGTAATATCCCACTTTTTTGCAAAAAAAATTTGGGATAGAAATCTGTAATGAGCCAGGCATGGTGGCGCACAAGTTCAATGTCAGCCCTCAGCAATTTAAAGAAGCCCTAAGTACCTTATAGAGACTCAAATTAAAAATAAAAAGGGCTGGGAATGTAGTACAGTGGTAAAGCACACTTGAGTTCAATTCCCAGTATAAAACAAACAAACAAACAGAAAAACAACATAATACCTGCTACCATTATGAAGTGAAATATGGTAACTGGATCAAATTAAACCTCTAGAGTATAAGAACATTTTTGTTTTGTTTTTACCTGGTTACTATTTATCTGAGAGTGAAAATTAAATGAAGAGAACATTTCTAGGGATACAGTATTATTCAGATTGAAAAGATCATCTTGCCTAACAGTGAAAGAGAAAAGGAAAAAAAAAAAATCTTCTGTTCCTGTGGAGATTCCAATTCTTACTTCAGTTCCCCTCTCTTGGGGAAACATAGAATATTCTCCCCTATTTTTCTAGAAATAGGAATTATTCTTTCACCAGAATATAAATCTAAAATCTCTGCTACTTTCAAAGAATAAGTTGGCAAATCTTATTTTACCCCTCTTCCTGGTTCACATAGAGAACTAAGTAGTCTTTCCATGGATTTACATATGTATAGAATATTTTAGGGAAAAAAATTGGGAGACTCATATAATTTCCAAGCTCAAAGACACTTTTGCAAATTATCTAGGTCAACTCTATTGCAACAGGACTTTGGTAATAAATTATGTAGCAATTAAAACTGTTAGAAACCAGGGGCAGTGGCACATGCCTGTAATCCCAGTGACTTGGAAGGCAGAGGCAGGAGCATCACAAGTCCCCGGCCAGTCTCAGCAACTTAGGGAGACCCTCAGCAATTCAGGAAGACCCTGTCTCAAATTTAAAAATAAAAAAAAAAAAAAAGAACTGGGGATGTAGTTCAGTGCCCCTGCATTTAATCCCCATTACAACAAATAAACAAACAAAAAACCTGTTTATAAAGAATCTGCAGTAGCATAGGTCAAAGCTATTTCAAATAAAGTACAGAAAGTTGTATAAAACCATATGATTTCATTTCTCAGTAGTAGTATTATGCATTATTTTATCATTTAAATACTTCTCTGCTTTTCCTATAATAAATGCTATTTTTATAACTGGAAGAAATATAAAAGGACTTCAAGATTACTTTTCATTCTTCTTGTTTAAACTACTAGGATTTTTTTTTACTTCCCAGTAGAAAGCATGTTTTCATAAGTAATGGCAAATTAAATATTTAATGGTATTCAGAAAAAAAGTTATTTCGTAAATATTACAGGAACTGGGGGAGATACCTGAAAATTGTGCTCTTAGGAGACACTCTGTTTCTTCAGAAAGTAGTCTTTCTTCTACAAGTGAATCAATTAACTGTAGGCCCTTTCTTTTCTTGATTATCCTGTAGTTTTTTACAGAGATAAGTCTTCTTTTAGACACTTGTAACATTTGTTGCACCTCAGCCAGTTTCTCAGCACCTCCTGTCCAGGGCCTCCTTAAACTATAGTTATGGTCCTCACTAGCAACTTCTTGAGAATTGTCTGGAAGTGGTTGTTTTAGGATTTTCTGTCTTGCTTTACCTTTAAGGTGAACACCCTGAGGAATCTATGACAGAAATATAAAAGTACAGTTATTTTAGAAATCATCAAGCATGAGATTATCTGTAAAAATAGCACTGAACACAAAACATGCACCTGGTTGCTGTGGAGAGTTAGATGTGAAGGAAAGAGTCATAAACTCTGAATTTTTAAAATGTATAGTATACAGAACAATGCACAAGGTTGTGGTTTGTTTATTCTTTGCACCTATATAGAAGTATTAATGTGATGCTGAAGTTTCTGAAGTAAGTAACTATGGAAAGGTGGTAGTAATTTGGGAAGGCTTCCTGGAAGTGAGTTTTGAATAGTTCTTTGAAGGAACAATAATATGGATTAAGGGAGGGGACAGGAAGTTATTTGTGCAAAAAAGAAGGCATGGAGGGAACAGAGGCTTTGGAATCAGGACTGACCTTTGAATCCCAGTTCCCTTACTCATTAGCTGTCATTTAAACTCCACAATCCCTGTGTCCTCATGTGTGAAATGTGGATAAAACAGGGTTGTCTTGAGGATACAATAATAAATTTGCATAAATCTCCTGTTCTAATGCCGGGCCATCAGTGGTCTCAATAAATAGTAATAATTATTGATTTCACACAAAATTATGAAAGCAGATGTCAGTTTATCAAATTCGAAGTAAGTAAGTATATGTGGTTTGAAAGAATTCAGGGCAGGCAGAAATACATAGATTAATTAACAGGAAGCTTATGGAACATATGAATTTGACATCAACTACTTGGGGAATGAGATAAACAACACTGAAAGAAGGAGACTCCAATGCGTTAAGAGGAAGATAAAACTAATGTCACAATAGAAGTCAAGAGCTAGGCGAGGTGGTACATGCCTGTAATCCCAGCAGCATAAGAGGCTGAGGCAGGAGGAACTCGAGTTCAAAGCCAGAGTCAGCAATAGCAAGGCTCTAAACAACTCAGTGAGACCCTGTCTCTAAATAAAGTCCAAAATAGGGCTGGGGATGTGGCTCAGTGGCCGAATGCCCCTGAGTTCAATCCCTGGTACCCCCACCACCACCACACAAAAAAGTCCATGGCCAAAACAAAAACAAAACTAATGTCAGAATAGAAGTTAAGAGCCAGGAACCGTGGAGCACACCGGTAATCCCAGAGGCTCAGGAAGCTGAAACAGGAGAATCTCAAGTGCAAAGCCAGCCTCAGCAACCCCGAGTCACAAAGCAACTGGTGAGACCCTGTCTCTAAATAACAATAAAATAGGGCTGGGGAAGTGGCTCTATGCCCCTGAGTTCAGTCCTCAGTAACCCCCCAACCAAAAAAATAAAAGATAGAAGAGACTATCACAGATTATGCAAAAAGTGAAAATCATGTTGAAAGGTTACAGTTAAAGGGTAAAAAGTTAAAAACAATAAAAGGAAACAAAAATGTAATGTCAATATGGATGACTCATTCACAGAAACTCTCTCATTTTCTATACATTTCTTCCTTGTATCAATGCTATTAATTAGGTATATGTTTGATCAAGATCAATAACATTATTAGGAAGAGCCAATAATGAGCTCTTATTCAACAAAAGCCTGACTTTTAAGACTGCTTATACCTACTAGTTGATTTTTGTGATTAAACTTTTTCAAAAGCTCCAAAGCAGAATGCTATTATTACATATAGACTAAAAACAACGAAAAGAAAATTAATTTTTAAAGCATTTAAAATCCATTACAGGATTTAATACTTGGGATGTTCTCATCTCTGCAAATTCTAGCTGAAATGTGAACTGCCTTGATTTTTTTCAAGGCTCTGTAAAATTTAGCTTTGTTTGCAACTGGATTTAAGTACCTTGTATAGAGAAACAGAAGGCACAGCTCCTTTTTTCAGCTTTCTTCTTATGCCATAGGACTCAAAATCACTTTCTTGAAAATGTTTAGAACATAGTATAGCACCTGGTCCTGGAATCCAAATCTTTTTGCTTCTGGGGTCCACACGATTAACAGCTCTGATCCATTTTGAGCGTTGTATGGTATCAGTTGGAAATCTACAGCAATCATATTAAAGTGCCATTAACATGAAGATACTATAGTAATACTACAGTAGTATTTTTATATAAACCCATTTCTTAACTGCTGTCTATAAATATAACATCCAGCCAAGTACGTTTAATTTATTTGATTTGTTTTGAAAGCTCTTTGATTTCTTTTTAGGAATTCAGAAGTTCAACAACTAAGTACTTATGTGTTTTAGTTTAATGAGGACAGTTTCTTCTACTTTAAAGAGAATCTATTGTCTTTAAATGGTTAAATAATACATGTGGGTGATGACTTTAAATCATGTTCACAAATTCTTTGGCACTCCTCCCTGCCGCAGTCTGGCTGGGCACAATTCAGGAGCCACTTGTCAAAAGAAACTAACTTTATTTTTAGAACCACACACGCCAAACAAAACAGCTCCTCAGGAAAAACCCTCAGAGCCCAACTGCCAACACCTGCTTCTCCCAAGCCTCTCAACCTCCCCCACTCCCCCTGCTCTTGAGGCCGATTGGCTGGGTTGTGTGGGCGGAGCCAAAAAAGTCCCCCAGTGAGCAGCTCCATGGTCTGAAAGGGCAGGGAAACAGCCCAATGAGCATCACCGCAGAGGAGCCAATCAGCTAGAAGTTGCTGGGGCCACTGTGAGCCAATCATCAGCTGGCAGTCTGAAAGTTTGCTGGGGCCCCTTCGGCTGTGGCTCTCAACATCTCCCCCTCTCTGTTTAAACAACAAGCATGTGGCTTAGGGACCGTGCCTGCCTTAGGTTGTCCAATAGTACATATGGTCCTTACCCGTTATCGGATGAGCTGACCTCAAGGCGTCAGCCTCCTGTCTTAGGTTGGTACCACTGCAATTGGATCTTACCCGTCACTGACTACCGGTCCAGTATACAGCCTCACCTGTAGATAGGTCTTTGTATCAGCGGGGGGCAGGGGTGAGGTTCTTTGCCTCACCTCTGTTGGTCCCCAAATTTTAGCTGAACGACCATGACAAGCAGAAGGGAGGAAGATACACCAAGCCAATTGATGGTTCCTTTCAATTCTAATTCTATTTTCTAATTCTCCTCTCCTTGAGTAAGACCAGGAAATACTTTAGCAAAGAATTTTGCTAAAGCAGAAGTGACAGTGAGAAATCAGACACCAGATTATGAAAGGCATAGAAGCTTCCTTCTTTCAGCTGAATGGTTTTGCCCTGGGGAAATTATCTGTAGCTTTATAAGCAGTCCTGTGGAGTGGATTTCTTGGGGAGAAATTTAGGCCTCCTGCCAAAGGCCATGGAAATTAGCCTTTTTGAAAACAGATCCTTCAGCCCTAGTCAGGACTTCAGGTAACTGCAATCTTATGAGATACCATCAAATTCATCAAATCCAGCTAATCCACTCCTCAATTTCTAACTCTTAAAAATGTGTGAGATCATGTTTCCACTGAATTTTGATGTCATTTCCATGAAGCAGTGGAAAAAGTACATTCCTTGTCCTGCTTCCCACATTTTTTTAAGGTACCCCTTTTCCCCCTAGCCTTGAACACATATTAAAAAAAAAAATGTGTGTGTGTATGTATTTATGTGTATGTATGTGTGTGTGTGTATATATATATATATATATATACATATATATGTATATATATTTATATTTTAAATATATATATTTATATTTTAAATATATATATTCTTGCATTTCTCTTATTTTTTTTAAATTCCAGCCAAATTAATGTTTGGAAACTTTTGAAATTCACATAAAGAAAATCACAAACTAGCCCAGTGCAGTGGTTTATGCCTGTAATCCTAGCTACTCAGGAGGCTGAGGCAGGAGGACTGCAAGTTAAAAGCCAGCCTGTTCAATTTAGCAAGATCTTGCCCGAAAAATTTTTAAAATAAATAAATAAAAAGTGCTCAATGGCAGAATGCTGGCTTCAATTCCTAGCACTGAAAGAAAAGAAAATCCCCAAACTACTCTTTTTGTACCCTCCTGCTGGATTCATCTTGGAAACAGACTTATAGATAGTATATGCCTACATATAACTTTTGCATATTTTAATATTTAAAAGCACACAGTTATTAGGTATTGAGACTGGTGAAAATTTCCTCAGATAATGGTTAGAAACATAGCAGAATGGTAAAACAACTCTGAGATACTCTAAATTATTTTAAGAAAGAACATGGAATTGGAAGGCTTATATTTAAGTGTCAATGACTTTTTAGAAGCTGTGTGGTCTTAGATACATGTTTCAATCTGAGTCTTCTCACAGAGCTGTAATAAGATATAAAATAAAACTACAAATGAATTCCAAAGCACTTTCTAAAGTGTATAATACTATCCAAAGTTTGTTCTTCCTTAGGAAGAATTAATTCCATTTCTGGGATTTTCATTTTACTGTTCCAGGAAAATAAAGGTACTTGAACAAGAGCAAACAGAGAATTGTTTTACAAATAAAGGGAAATCACTTTATATTGAATTCTTAACTAATGGATGTTTATGAAGCATTCTAAAAAGCAGGCTGGTTTACCAAATTATGATTAGACCCATCCCTGATGCTAAGCTTCCCAAATGGTAAACCTGGCAAATACATGGAATAGCTTGGGACACTTGGAGCCCCAGAGTAGTTACTATAAGTGAACCCCAAAGAGTTTTGTCATCTCTCTCTCAAAGTATTATAGAAGCATTTTGTATGCATAAAATGCCACGGAAAAGGTTGGCAAATATTGCCGAGTAGTGAGTATGACAAATTAGATATAGAGTTCTGAAGAAAATTAAATTGGTAATACCTAATTCTAATTTTAAATAATTTTCCTTGTGATATATGTATCACAGATTTCAGGGCATGTACTCAGATTTTTACATGACGAGAGCTCCATGATCAAAAAAAAAAAAAAAAAAGTCTATATGTTTACTGGCTTTAGGCAAGTAAACAGAAGATAGCAGTTTAAAAGAGAAGGGGAACCAACTGATGAGTAAAGGTTAGGAAGAATCAAGAAAGCACACAATTAAAACAACAAAAGACCATCCAAAAGACATAGCCCAAACTCCTTAACCTGGCATTTATTCCGTAATTTATCTCCTAATTATCTTTCCACTCCTCTACATTTTTTCTGCACTCTCCATCTCTTTACCTTCTTCCTTGCTGTTCCTACTTAAGTGCTACCCATCTATCACTCCCTGAAGCTTTTTTTTTTTTTCTTTTTTTGTTACTGACTATTGAACCCTCTCTGCCACTGTGTTACATTCACATCCACAGGATCTCGCAAAGTTAATGCTTAGGACCTCACTAATTGGCCTTCAATTTGAGATCTTCCTGCGTCAGCCTCCCGACTTGCTGGAATTACAGGTGTGCACCACCGCGCCCGATATGATGCTGTTATCTTCTTATTAAATTACTTCCATTAGCTCTCTACATCTTATTAATATTTTAATAGGCTACCTCTCGGGGAGTACGCGTCTTCTGTCCGTGAGGATCTATTTTACCTCCTCTTCTACTTTTTGGTGTATCTTTAACATTGATTTGAATGACCTACACCAACCTGCACTATAAATGGGTTCAGATGGGACTACTATGAAATTCTGCTCCCACTCTTGAGCAATACGAAATTTCTTTGACACGACCACATGACCACCCAGAATCCACCCAGAATCGTACCGGCCTGTAGAGCTCGACCAACAATGCCGACAATTTGCAAGGTTAGGCTGCACAGGCCAAAACTGATCAGTACTCAAGCTCTCGAAGAAGCCACGTAGTCTAATGGGGGCGCATGCTTGTAACAGTTTTCCCAACTGTCCTCCCTTCTGATCGCCTCACTTTAAATGAGACCACTCCTTTTGAGTAACCTCACTCAAAATTCATTAGGCAAAGCGCAGTGGGAAAAGATCTGCAATTTGGAGGTAAACATTGAGGAAGAAGTGAGCGAGGAACCCCAACTTCAGACGCTTCTCACTTCCGCTCCCCGCCCCACGACACATACGTCACATCGACGGCGCGACGCAACGCCCGGCCCCGCCCCGCCACGGCCTACGCTCGCCAGGCTCTGCGGCGAGCTTGATGGCGGCGCGGCTGCTCTCACACGCACTGGTGGAAGGAGAGGCCGCGCTCTCGGCTCAGCATGGTGTCTCGGGTACTGCAGCCCACTGCAGAGCAACTTCGGGTCATCTTGTTACATGGGGCTCCACCTCCAGGCTTCCCGCGACAGCTTGAATCACGATAAATTTAGCTCCGCCCGTTGACTCCGCGTCTTGGACCTTTATTTATGAGGGAAGGCGGGCTTTACAGGCGAGGCACTCCCACTCTGCCTCTCTGTAGGCTCACCGGTTGACGCCCTAGCCAATCACGGAGCATGGCGTGTCGTAGAGGCCAATCGGAAAGGTCAGTGGCATTAAGACTTGCTCTTGACCGCTCCTTCTCGGCCTTTGGGTGCGTGGTAGGGTTAGCTGTAACTGGATTGTTTTCCTACTTGGAATGAATCCGGCGCCATCGCGTGTTTTGTGAGGCCAGTTCTGAGAATATGAAGCAGAGAGGAAGGGCCAAAATTGAGGCGAATATGAAGCATGCGGATGGGACTTCGGGTGCGATCTCTGAAACTGGAGGGTATGTATGGGAAAGGATATGAAGGGGACAAATAAAACGTGGTGCCCTACATGTTGAAGACAGAATCTGGGCAAATATAAAATGATTTACTGAGCTGCACATCGTTTTCCTTTTACTTAATCTTGTAGCTCTCTGATTCGGAGACAATGTAGGAGATGTTGTCATGGTTGGCGTTAAAAATGTGATTTCGGAGGAGCTTGAGCGAAGAGTATGAAGTGAGCATGCTCCGACATTCAAAGAATCCCTTTCCGAAAGCTACTTTGCTACGATGAGGAGTCAAGGAAATAAGGTAAGTTTTCCTGGGGGTTTGGGAAGCCTTCAGTGCAGTGCAGCAGCAGTCATGGAGGCAGGAGAGAAAGGGCAGTCATGTCATTTTGGTTGGAAATGGGGCACTCGTAGGTTTCAGAATTTGAGATGGTCAGTTTTCAAGGAAGAAAGAAAATAGGCCAAATGAGGGCACAATATTTTTGTCTTTGAAAAGTATAGCCATAGCATATTAAGTGGTTCTGTTTTAATCCTGCATAGTGTTGGAGGCCACTTTTAGAAAAAACAGCAGTGTTAATCTAGCTTACATAATTCCAAATTTCCAGACCTAAAAGATTGATTGCTTCTTGTTTTCTTTTTTGATTATTTGGTCTAGATTCCAGCCAAAAAGATTCGTATCAAGGTATTATTTATATCTACTTTCCATTATAATGTGCTCATTTCTTATCTGAATGAAATTAATAGAGATTTGCTTATGTTTTATTAAAAATTATGGTGTAGAGATAGTTCATGAACTTTGGAAAGATTATCATCTGGGGAATGGGCAGAGCAAACGTTTGCTTGGCTGTTAAGATGTACAACAAAGACTAGAAGCTGGGTAAAAATATTGGGGCAGTTGGTTGGGCTATTATTATTATTGAGTACTATTCTAGTACTCGAATTAAGACCTGAATTAGGCTAAATGGAAATAGTAACATTGTTTTAAATTACCTTTAAGGAAAAAATTGGTTGCCTTATATATTTGTAACAGTAAAAGAGATAAGTACCATATAATTAACAGATTTAATGTATACAGTTCAGTTAGACTTTAGTATTTGCTCAGAGTTGAGCAACTATCACTGCACTGAATTTTAGAACACTCTTTTCTTTTGATATAGTATGGGGTCTGACTATATTGCCCAGGTTGGTGTTCAAGTGGGGTTCAAGTGATCCTCCTGCCTCAGCTTCCAGAATTGCCTTGGACTATGGGTCCCTTGCCTGGCCCATATGAGAACATTTTTATCACCCAAAAAAGAAACCCCATTCTTTTTAGCTGTATCTCCCTCTCTCCTGTCCCTCGAGGCAACCAATTTACTTTTCTTTGTGGACTGAACTGTTCATTGTACTTCATCTAGATAATAAACTAACATGAGAAATTATGTGACTGGCTTCTTTAATGTACAATGTTCTCAGAGTTCATCCATGTTGTAACATGTATCAGTACTTAATTATGTTTTTATCACTGAATTTTTTCCCATTGTATAGATATACCACATTTTATTTATCCATTAGTGATGTACATTTGTGTTAACAGTATTTTGGGTTATTATGAGTAAGGATGCTGTAAACATTAATGTACAAGTTCTACACGGCACGGACATAAGGTTTTTTTTGTTGTTGTTTTCTTGGTGCTGGGGATTGAACCCAGGGACTTGTGCATGTAAGGCAAGCACTCTTATCAACTGAGCTATATCCCTAGCCCCATAAGTTTTTGTTTCTTTTGATTACACATAAGAATGGATTTCTGGGTCATATAGTAATTATGTTTAACTTCTTGAGGAGCTTCAGGACTATATTCCAAAGTTACTGTACCATGTTACATTCCCACCTGGAGTGGATGAGGTTTCCAATTTTGCCACAAAAATCATAAGCCTCAAGTATTCCATTGTGGTGGTTGCCCTTTTTTTTTTTTTTTTTTTTTAAAGGATTCAATACTTTGTAGGGAACCCACTAGAGGATGTTCCTTGAGTTCAAAGACAATGTATAAGGTGATTTTCAGTCCTTAGCACATGTGTTTCTGCTATAATGTTAAATGTGTTCCTGAAGAAAAGAACTTAATTTCAGCAAAATTATTCATTTGAAAGTTTACAGAAAAAAAAGGATTAAGGTAGACTACTCAAAATCTATGCAAATTAAAATCACTTGGGGGGCGGGGTGGGGGGGAGTGATTGCTACCTAAAGAGTGCATTTATGTTCCTACCCAATTTTAGGTAACTTCAAAACGAAAAGGCCACAGCGGGCATAAAATGGGCAAAATGGAAGGACTGAGACATTGGGAATGGAAGTGGAGTTCTGGCTAATGTGTTCTTAAAATGGTTTACAGCTAATATAACCAGTTGAGAGCCTGAAAAAAGAGATGATGATTCAGGTGGTTTGGGAGCCAGTTAAATATTATGAGAGCATGTATATACAAATAAGCAATCTCCTTTCTTAGGTGTATTCTTTGTAGCATGTGTGTGTGTGTGTGTGTGTGTGTGTGTGTGTGTAGTAATATATATGATATGTATTGCATATGTATATGTAATACATTTATATAAATTACTGAAGTGATGCTGTGTTCTTTTTGAAAATTTGTAGAACATTTATAAGAAAGTTCATTTTATGGTTAGAGTACTCTACCTTGTGTTCTTTTTTTCTAGATATTTTAATTTTTCTAGGTGGAAGTAGTAATTACTAATTGTAAACAAGTTACTGAGAACTGACAGTTCTATAGTAGAATATCAGATTTACTTAAATATCATAAGCCTATTTAAAAAAACAATAAAACTCACTTTACAGAAGCCAGAAAGAAGAGGTCACTGCTCTAGATAGTCTCAGAATACTTCAGTATAGGGAAATATTTAATAAAACTTTTTTGTGCCTTTTGTTGTTTAGTGGTGACATTGAGGCTCTCAATTTGATCATTTGGTTATATCTTTCCTTTAGTGACTTCATATCCAGTGATTAAATATTTTCACTGCTGTTCACATAATGAACCGTTGTGATTATTGAATACTTAAATGAGGATATGTAAGCCTTATTAAAGATGGTGTTAATTGTAAAAGGCATTGACCATTGCACAAAATAATTTAAAAATACCTCTTTTTCAGGAGATAATGGGAAAAGATGTGGATCTTGGATAAGAAGTCTAAATATTCAGGGAAGGTAGTATATTTTTCTGTTTTATGTGTATTAAGTAGTCCTGAAACTATAGCAGCAACTTGGAAAAGGAGGATTGTCCAAGTAAAAAATGGATTTGTAAAGACTGGTGTTATCTTATTACCTATTTTATGGTAGAGTTTATTGGCTACATAGGGAAGAATAACAATGCTTATTGATCAGTTATTGAGCTAAGCTTGAGAGTTGTTTTTTTAAACCTATTTGTTTCTTATAATACCCCTATAAAAGCAGACATATTTTAATTTCTAAGCCCAGTCTTTTGCTTGTTAAGCATATCTTTTCTTCAGATACTTGGCTAATTCTACTAGAAATTTCCAAGTTGTTGTCCTGCTATAACTAACTCATTTTTGCTGAATTTTTCATCTTTGAGTTCGCTATGTTTTTTTTCTTCTTCAGAAAGTATTTAGAATTTGAAATTTTTTGGTGACCAAATTTAAATGCAGTCCTGAACCTTTTCACTTAATATTTTGCTCCTTGGATACAGATACAGATTTTGTCCTCTTAGTTAACTTTAGTAGGTCAAAATAACAAACTCTTATTATCCCACTGCTTTTGTGGATCACTATTCTGGGAATAGAGTGAGTTATTTTGGCTCAGTGTGGTCTAATGACATGACAGTCATCTGAAGACTTAATTTTTGGGAGAATAGGGCAGCTTCTGAGCGCTCTACTTCTTTGCTGGCTAATGTCTAAAGAATTTAGTTCTTTGCCATATGACCCTCTTCATAGACTATGCCTTCCAAACCATAGCAGGTAGCCTCCCCCAGAGGGCAAGATATAAGAATAAAATACCCAGATAGAAACTTTACGTTTAAAACTTGATCTAGGAAGCATATACCATTTCATCTTTCCTCTTCTGTTATTCATGTAGACATAATAGGAATGGATTATACAGGGGTGTGAATACCAGGAGTTGGTGGTGGGGTATCATCATGGACCCCACAAGGATATCATATATATATTTTTTAACTTTCAATTTATTACATCAAAAGGATTTAATAGTTGACTCAAGTAAATTAGGTGTATAAGAGCATGTATATCCAAATAAGTAAGTTTTATTATTTCTTGTGCATATGTAGTAATATATACGTAGTATATAACTTGCATATGTGTATATGCTACATATATCATATAAACTACTGAAATAATTCTGTGTTCCATTTTGAAAATTTCTAGAACATAATCAAATTCATCTTACAGAGTACTTTACCTTGATCATATTTTTAAAATAGCTTTTTCTCTTGTTCTAGGTGGATGAGGTAGAAGAAGCTGATGAGAACTAGACTATAAAGAGAAATTTGGTTTCTTTAACCCAGTATTTTGCTGAGGTGGCACTAATGAAAATGTTAAACATTCAGTTTAGGTTTTTCCTTTTTTGGTACTGGGGATACTAGGGGCACTTTACCACTGTGCTACATTTCCAGCCCCTTTTATTTTAAGACAGGACCTCTCTCAGTTGCTGAGGCTGGCCTTGAATTTGCGATCTTTCTCTCTGACCCTCTCGAGCCACCTGGATTACAGGCATGCGCCCACTGTCTCCGGCTTATTTACAGTCTTGTAAAGAACATAGTCTAATTACTTATAGGTCTATAAATATTTGCTGGAGGATGGAGTAAAGGTACAGATGTACAGAATCAGTGAAGCATTTTGACCTTTTTCTTCAAGCTTCATTTTTGTTCAATGTGATAAGTATACTATACTACAACTTCCCGCTGCTGCCTTTCCCCTCTGTATGTGCTCCTGCCCCTCTTCATTAGCAAATACAGACCATGTCAAGCAATCAGAATGTGCTTTATTATAGAATAATAATTAGTGCCTGATATTTGTAATCTTTTGAATTTTTTTCATCACTGCTGTCAAGTTCGTTAATAGAAACAACCTTCCTTCTTTTCCTGTAAAGTCTTAGTTCTGATAGTTGTGAACACTTGTCTAATAAGAAAAGCATTATATTAAGCCAGCTATGGTGGGGCATGCCTGTAATCCCAGTGGCTAGGGGGCTGAGACAGGAGGGTTGCAAGTTCAAAACCAGCCTTAGGAAAAGCAAGGCAATAAGCAAACCAGTGAGACTCTGTCTCTAAATAAAAATATAAAATGGGGCTGGAGATGTGGCTTAGTAGTTAAGTACTCCTCGGTTCAACCTCCAGTACCAAAAAAAAGATTACATAAAAAGCAAAGAATAAACAGTTTAGAATATCAGGCTTGCTATGGAGAAGATGCTTTCAAGGTAGCATGAGATAGTCTGTAGAAAGTAGATATAATGATACAGTTGAAATAATCTTTGTTCTGATTTATTTTTTCAGTCATAATAAAACTGCAGGTCTGTGTATATGGTCCTGGGGACTGAACCCTGGGGTGCTTTACCACTAAGCTATCTCCCCAACTTTTTTCTTTCTTTTTTTGAGGAGAGGGTCTTAGAAAGTTTCTGAGGCTGGCCTCAAAACTTGCAATCCTCCTGCTTCAGTTTCCTAAGCTGCTGGGATTTTTAAGGGCTAATCAAAGAAAAAAGAATAGAGCTTCAAATTAAGTATAAATGTCCAATGATTAAACTTTTTCCACTGCTGTTCACATCATGATTTGTTGTGATTAATTTATGTGGATGAGGACATAATAGAAATAGTCATGAAACTTAAATATATGGTGTAATTTCTATACATTGATTTGCCTGTTTGAATATTTTCCCTTGTAGGACTAAAATTGAAGGTTGTTTTTCTTAGAGAAAATCACTTATTGTATTTATTTGATCAAGAATTAGAAGATTTATATGTAATAAGGTAAGAGGTTTATAAAATAAGTAGTTTTCAAAAAAGAATACAAAGTAAGATGAGAACAAAAGTTTGACATTTAAGTATAATGTAGATATTGTACTTTGAATTAAAGTTCTTTTCTTATTTTAGCTTTCAAAGAAAAATAGAATTTTCCAAATTTATAGGTTGATTCAGGAAAGAAAATTGGAGGGGTAGAAGAAGGGACTTTTAATAGTCATCTTTTCTTAGAAATAATGATAAAATCCTTTCAGGCCTTGAAATTCTTAGAGATCATATTTCCTAGAGTTTACATTTGTTTATTATTTGCTATTCTTTAAATGATTCATACATAATTCCAATGGATGACTATCCAATAACATAATAGGAAAGTGGTAGCTGAGAATCTCAAATCTATTACCAGTTTTGTCATTGTGTCTTTTATCATACCCATTTCCCAAATTTAAAGAACATATACATCCTGCAAAGAGAAATCTTAATAACTTAATTTCTCATTAAATACATACAAAAGATGCTAAACCTAAAAGTTTATATTTTTTTATAGCCCATATGAAAAAGATGTATGAAATAAATGCATCCAAAAACAATGAAGCTAAAACATTAATAGAAGGAATGCTGCTGTTTTGCTAAAATGTAAGCATAGTACTGTACTGGCTGTTAGGGAGCAAACTACACAACTGACCATCTTGTTCCTTGTGGTTATTTTTCTAGAACTTCACTCCTTGAAGACTTGAAGATTATTGAAATGAAAGGGGGAGTCACAATTTTCAGAATAATATTTTTTTGACCATATATAAATCCTAATTTGAATTGTTCTTTAAATTATCTCCACATGTTGTTCTACCTTTACTGAGTAATTCAGTCTTGAAACTAGCACTCTTTGAGAGAAGTTTTGTTTTTATTTGATCCAGGACAATACTTGATTAATTTATAGTCAGCTATTAAAAGATTAAAAATTGACCTTTCTGAAATGATTATTTTCTTTTTCAGTACAGTAGTCTTAATAGGTACAAGTATCAGTTACCAAAGTATTAACTGAAAATAGTTATATAAATTTTGCTGCTAGTTCTTCAGTTCACAAATTATTTTGCAAATAAAAGATGTACATCATGATCAGTGACCACTCACTTCTTTTAAAGTCTGATGGTGATTGTTTACTAATAATTTATTCAGTCCTTGCACTGATAGCAAAGTGCATAGATTTACTGCTTTCTTGTATCCCAGAGACTGAACTCTTTTACAAAAATGGATAATCAAAAGAAGGAATTGGTCAATAAAGATGACAGTGTAGCAAAGAAATGAAAATGGATAATGCTAGAAGTGAAAGTGGGTGTGATTAGAAGATTTGAAAGTGTCAGCTGCAAAGCAAAGCCTGCAGGAAGCTACAGTGTGAACTGCATTGCATATATAGTTAGTTGCCACCATATCTTAATTTAAATTGTGCTACTAACAGAAAGCCATTTACAGTCAAAATTGAAGACTGATCAAAAACAGATCCCAGTTTGGCTAGCTAGCATTCAGGCCCAAGCACTGTTGTTAGCTGTTGCAATGAAAGAAAATAATTACAATGAAACTGAAAATAAAAATTTTACTGCCAGTAAAGCTGGATTCATTATTTCAGAAGTCAACATGAATTGGTTAATGCTAATCTACTTGGTTAAGTTGCAAACTCAGATAAAGGCACTACTATGAAATTTGTACCCAGATTCCCAGATACAAGTAGTCCTACTTAATGTAGGACTCCATTGAGTCCACCTTGTAGGATTTCAATGCAGTGTTATAGAAGATAGAGTGGACTGGGAAGGAATTTGATACTGCTGCTGGTCAAGAGCCAGTTGAAGAAAAGCCAGATGAGCTTAGTGAAGGTGAACCTCTTGACATGAGTGATAGAAGTGGTTGTGACATAAAAGATGAACATACCTCAGAGGTGATGCCAGCAAAAACCCTTCACATCAAATTCTCAGAGATAACTTCATGACCTTGAAAGGAAAAAGGGTAAAATTTGTGGTTCCTATGTCAAGGCATAGGAAAGATGTTCAATGCTTATTGTAAGTAATATGAAGACAAGTACTATTTAAACTACTCTTGATAAATTATTTACATTTTTAAAAAACTGTAATTTTCAGCTTCTAATGTTTTTAATTATAGTGAATTAAATGCTAGTTTTACAAAAAAGTTGCAGAGTAATATTTTTGCATTTAAAATAAATATCAAGATTTTAATTTTTTTCTGTGCTTTTTCTTTTTAATTATTATTCTTTTTAGTTATACATGACAGTAGAATATAACTTGACTTATTTATACAAACACGGATTACATTTTATTCTAATTAGGATCCCAGTTTCGTGGGATGTAGAGATTCACTGTGGAGTACTCCTGTATGTACATAGCAAAGTTATGTCAATCATTCCACTGTCTTTCTATTCCCGTCCCACCTCCCTTCCCATCAGAATTAATTTTGGGGGGAGGTACCAGGAATTGAACTCCAGGGTACTTGACCACTGAGCCACACCCCCAGCCCTATTTTGTCTTTTATTTAGAGACAAGGTCTCACTGAGTTGCTTAGCACCTCATGGTTGCTGAGGCTGGCTTTTGAACTCTCAATCCTCCTGCCTCAGCCTCCCTAACAACTGGAATTACAGACCTGTGCTTGGCTGAAAATTAATTTTTTGACCAATTTTAAGGAAACAAATTATATATTTTCCCAAAGACTTAGATTGCATTGTGCCTGCATTTAAAACACATGAAACCAAATATAAATACACATATCAAGTCTACAGATATTTATTCATATTGCCTTTGTATGCTGAATACCAAAGTTTTGAAATTAAGTTTATAGTATTGGATTTCTCATATTTGGAGTTCATTTATCAATCCATTTGTAGGCCACACCCTAATAGAGTGACAACATTTTCCAGTAAGGTCATAGTAAATATTAGGCTTTGAAGGCCCATGCCATCATGATTACAACTACCCAGCTCTGCCTTTGTATAGCTTAAAGCAGCTATAAACAATAACCATCAAGTGTGAATGTGTACTAATAAAATTTTATTTATGAATACCAAAATTTGAGTCTCAAGTCTCTTTTTTTTTTTTTTGTACCCAGAGTTGCTTAACCCCTGAGCCACACCCTCAGCCCTTTTTATTTTGTATTTTAGATAGGGTCTTAATTGCTGAGGCTAGCTTTGAACTCATGCTTCTCCTGCCTCAGCTCCCTGAGCCACTGAGATTACAAACATGTGCCAACACTCCTGATTTTAAGATATTTTCTTTTGCACTTTTTCCCCTTTTTCAACTATTCACAAGGCCTGGAATTTGGGGGGAGGAGGCAAGGTTTGGAGGTGACTGATGTATGCTTCAATTATTGTTTTTAGGGTGAGAGTAGGAGTTACAATGAATCTTTCCATACTAATGCACATTTCCAAGTAGCACTCCCTTTGGAATAGGATAAGAAGAGAGTTCAGAAGGTAAACTTTTTCTCTTGGCTCAAAGGATGGTCCCACTTGTGTGTGTGTGTGTGTGTGTGTCTCACCGAGTTGCTTAGTGCCTCCCTGTTGCTAAGGCTGGCTTTGGTCGTTCTGCCTGAGCCTCCAGAGCTGCTGGGATTACAGGCATGCAGCACTGCACCTAGCTGGATGGTCCCACTTTTTCAGTCAGGTTTTTTGTTGGCCCCTCTAGATAAGTCTTGCAGCTATAAGTTAGAATGGAAAGTATTTTAGAACATACTCAAAATTAGCCACTGAAAAACTAGTAATATGCTTGAGCGGTTTATTTCAAACCTGTTGAAAAATATTTTAAAAATTGAGCCGCACATGTAGGAAACTGAAGGTGTTGGGAAGAGTGCAGTGAATTAAAAAAAAAATTCTCCAGTATGGTAGTATTGACCATATTTTATATTTTTGTGTGCAAGAACATTCCAGTTATGGCAGGTGGGCAAGGTTTCCTTAAAGAACTGGCTTTGGATGATAGGTATAATGGAAAGTGAACGGGGGTAGAAGTTAGGAGACATTAGGTTGAGTGCAGGTTTTAATATTTAATGTTTTTCTCTGGTTTGACTATAAAATTGTTACTCCCTAAACTCAAAAAGTGCATTGAGGTAACACATCAAGGGTCTGAGGAAAGTAGGAGCATCTCGTGTGAAATGCTTGAGACCAGAAAGATTTTAAGTTTTTTGTACTTGGAAATATTTGCATAGACTTTTCTGATTGAACATCGCTAATCTGAAACCTGAAAAGCTCCTTAATCTGAGCGTTAAGTACGCGCTCAAAAGTTCTTTATTTTCAGATTGGGGATGCTCAAACTACTACTTGCCCACGGCTAGTTGTAATGGGTCTGGACTTAATGGGATAGTAACTTTAAGGATACTAAAAAATTAACATACCTCGGCCCACTTACGTATGCCCCTTTGGAGCATTAAATCAACTATTTCTACAAATAATCTTTTTTTTTTTTTTTAGAATTTTAATATTTATTTTTTAGTATTTGGCGGACACAACATCTTTGTTTGTATGTGGTGCTGAGGATCCAACCCGGGCAGCACACATGCCAGGCGAGCGCGCTACCGCTTGAGCCACATCCCCAGCCCTCTACAAATAATCTTTGAGTATGACAAGATCATCCAATTTCAATTCTCAAGACACAAAACTGTAAAAACAGTAGGCAATTTAAAGAGCCCAGGCAAACTGCAATAAGCTCCTTGTAGCCCGATTTTCACGTAGTTTGGCGTTGGCAGTAGCTCAAGGGCTGCTGGTGCCTCACAGGACTACGTGGCATTCCTGCGGGCCACCGCCATAAGCCAGACCGCAATGCCCAGCACGACTTTTCCTTTACCCGTAGTGTGGCTACTGCATCCACACCCTCCGCCCAATCTTACAGAAAAGTGTCTATAACCACACGTGATGCAAACCAGGGCCCCTAAACCTCAGCACTGGACTTGATATCTGACCGGCCGCAACTCCCGGAAGTGCCGTGGCCGACCGCGCGCCGAAGTGGGCGGGGCAAAGCGTTGCACCCGGAAGTGTCGGCCTGCAGGGAGGGGCTGCGGCTGCCACGTTGGAGCGGAACGTGGAGGTGGCCCTGGGCCGGGGAGGAGGGGCGGCGGCGAATCCTGAGAGAGTCTGACCGGCGGGGTGCTAACGCAGAACCGGTCGCTGAGGGTCCCGGGCAGTTGTGTCCGCCTGTTGCCTTCTGCCCTCTTCGACGGCCATCGGGCCTTGAAGTTGTGCCCAGGAAGCTGGGACCCCGGCCTCGGTCTCTGCTGGCTCTGCCAGCCTGAGGCCCGGTCTCTGGTGACTACGCGCCCCTGGTCTTGGTTTCGGGCCCAACGGGACAACGTCAGGCATCGAGACTCCTTCGGTGTTCGTGCCCGTCAACAGCCGCCGACGAGTCCAGCGTCTAGCACAAGCTCCCCTGAGGATTACGACAGGGTTTCCTGCCGGGCATTCTCAGCCGGGTTGGTAACTGGAGTTTGAGGTTAGGAGACCTTCGGACCCAGTGCACAAAGAGGTGCGGTACCCAAGGGCGAGGAAAGAAAACAAATCTCAGTTTTATTTCGTTGACTTTAGTTTGGTTGAGATTTTTCGTTTGTATTTGACTTTTTGTCAAATTTAATGGTTCACGGGGTTGAACTGAAAGCTACTATCATTTAACCACAGTTGGATGATTGTAGAAACAATAGTCTCCAATCGCTGCCTATACTTCTAAGGAAACCTCATTAAGTATGGTATGATTTTGCTAATAAGTTGTTATAGTAAATTGTGAGGCAGTTGTAAATTAAGTCAAAATATTGTTTAGATTTATGGGCGTTATAAACTTTTCTGTAGTTTAGAGAGTGAATTTTACATAGGTCTTTTTGAACTTACAAACCCCTCCTCCTAAACTGTTCTTTCTACTACAGAAAACTGAAATTTGGCTGTCTTTGTTGCAGTTGTAACTGTATTTAATCGGTAATTCGAAGGTCGTCCTTGTATCACAGAATCCTCGTTTTTCTTACATCCTCCTTTTTCATTGGTTAAAGCTTACCCTTCTTTTTAATAGTTCTTCTGTGCTCCTCGTTCCTCTTTACTCCATAATTACAGCTGTAGGAAAGGTTCGTAGGCTTTAAGAACTTCTGGATAACTTGCAGTGCCCCCCCCCCCCCCCAGTCCTTCTGGATGGACTTTGAACCAAGGGCCCAGGGCCTCCTGCAAGCGCTCACCACTAAGCTATATACCCAGTCCTTTTTATTTTTTGAGACAGGGTCTCGCTAAATTGTCGAGGCTGGCCTCGAATTTGCGATCCTCTTACTTGGCTACTTGAAGTGTTTTTGTAGTTATGAATTTATGTTACACGCATTCATGGTTATTTCGGAAGTGTGAAATGGAGATGGATATAAAATTATACTGCTTATTTTATATAAGCAGGCTCTTTTGTGAAACTAATATATAAGAAAAGAAGGAAATTTGTATACTGTGAAGAATAGTGTTATCAACCTTTTGGGATAACACTCCCTTTTGAGAATAGTGAAAGCATTAGATCATCATCCTAGAAAAACACTAGACATGTAGAATGTGTAATTTCAGAGGTTTACAAATGCCAAGTTTAAAAAACTCTTGTAAAGTGACATTACTAAATTGAT